CACTTTAGCCAGGATCCTCCAAAGAGTTAGGGTGCATTCCCAGAGATTTAGATTGATCCAGAGATTTAGATTTAGATCGACCTAACTCCCTGGGGGTTCATGCTAAATTGCAGTCAGCCGAGCGCGCACCATAGTTAATTACCCCCTTACAGCTTTTAGTAGGCGCACAGATGCTTAAGCCGGCTAAGCTGACAGTAATCTAGTGAGACTCCCCACAGGGATAGATCAATCTAAAATCTATGGGAATGGGGTCTTAGACTGACTCAGCTAATATGATGTGTGAATTTGAATGCATCCAGATTCAGACATGTTCTGTAAAACTGTGTGGAAACTGCACTTAAACTGCTGATAATTGCATGTGGTAGTAAAGGAGTCCTGATACAAGTATTGTGAAAGACCATTACACAAGAAATTTAACTAGTTCTGAAAAAGTTATCACTTGGTCAATCTCCAGTCCAGCAGTGGGCAATAAAATGAATGCAACGTGACGATATGGAAGTAGCATATATATACTAGCTGATGACATCAAGTAGACTGAACCAGAACTGGTTTCAATGTTGTATCCATGTGAGCACATTTCTGATGTCTTTCCTCTTTACTTAAAACATCCCATTTTATATTGGGACCAAATATAATTCTTTCTGACAATAACAAGACATTTGATGGTTAGGTGACTGATGCTCTGGTGGCAAAATAAAGATGTTACAGACAGACAAATTGGTAAAAACACTGCTTCAATGTATAACATTGCATGACATTTCAGATTTGCCAACTTCACGCGTGCATAAATGTGTCTTAAAAATTCCTGATACACAAAAGAACACCCATTACAAGGATGTAAAGAATTTTTTCGTCTTTGTTTTTGTTATGTTTTGGTGTACTTATTTACGTAATTATCTATTATTGCGCTTTAACTGTCAACAGCGCATGTTGCAGGGTACGTCCCTATAACCAGAATAAAATGCTCTTACTGCGGCCAGCTTTAATAGATTTTTTTTTATCAGGCATCGAAACAAACCACACATGGTTAAACAGCCCATGGCCCTCAGTGACACTGCAAATAAAACTCTTTCAAATCTTGCATGAATACTAGGGCTCAGAGGGTCAGAACTAAACGCAAAATGAAATAGATCTTGGAATTTTTTTTGCAGGATTTATTTTACCTGCTTTGCAAATTCATGAAAGATGATAAACCAATCTGGCCAACTTGAAGATTAAAACCCATTAAGAGAGGATCTTAGAAATACGGTAAAAAATACTAACATTGAGAGTATTTTTATGTGTCAGTGCACAAGACAAATACAGTAGCAGCATTTACGGCAAATGGACGGAAACACGTCCACTTTCTTTGTCAAATAATGAGGTTTTCACGGTGCAGAGTTTACACAAATATTACCAGCAAAATGTACATCAAATAACTTAACCTACAAACAAAGGGAGCTTTGTTCTTACTTTACATTAACTTTCTATATGAGAAGAATGCCGAGAAGTTCAATAGGACAATATGCGGTCGAGAACAGGCGCACTTCTATTCAGCATCTATTTAATTTGACGTATGATCAGGTATTGAACCATGTATTGGCATTGCTTAATGCTTCTATATTTACACGTCAGGTGCTGGTATTGTACAATATCCATCACATTCTAGGACAGCAGTAAAAGTGAAGTTTAGTTAAAATGTGTCAACTTCCTGATAGGAATGTATGGAGTTATGGTTATGTTGTGCCTGCAAGTGTCAATTTAAAGAATCAATCATCTTAAGATGAAGCTTTTTTTTATTTTCATTTATGTACAAGATATATTTGTTATGTTGTACGGAAATGTTTTAAAAGTACAACCTCAGTCAGGAAGCTTTGGAACTCTCCCATGTTTAATCTAAAGGACTGTGTGAGATGTATGAGCCCACAGGCATTGGCTTTATTAACTGTATACTTACTTTTCACAAAGTTTGTTAACTGGTGCTTTACTAGTGTTGATCTTGGTTAAAAGTTTCCTGTGCCAGTGCAGCCACCAGAGGTCTACATGCATATAGATGGTGATCAATTATCAATATTTCTGAAAAACTAATCAATATTTTAAAAAGTTTTTAAGTCACAAGTATATGCTTAGACTAAACAACATTTCTGCCAAATATGAACTTTAAATGTATTATAGTTTTTGAAAAATACATCTTTAAAAGAGTCAAAATTCTGCCCATCAGGGAAAATGAATACCATAGAATGCTTCATGCACAATGACAGTTTTCACTCTGCCTGAATATCGTGTGAATTACAGTAGCAATTGAGATTGATTTTTCTTTTTGTTAATACAAAGTGCAAATAATTTTTCTTTGAATTTTCATTTTCTTGAGATAATTGATGATTGACCTTGCATGCACTGCATGTCCTGTGGCAAAATTTAAAAGATTGCAAAATTGAGGGTAGTTAATACAGGCCCATAGCCAGCAGTTTTAGAGGGGGGGGGGGGGTTCGTTTTCTGAAAAAGTGGACCCTTTACCATAAAATCCTCAAGTACATTGATCGTATTGTGCCCAGAGTAGACCTTTTCCCAGCAAAAAGGGGGGTTCTTTCGAACCCCCCCGAACCCCCACTGGCTACGGGCCTGTTAAAAGAAAAACTGCTACACTTTTTCCTTCTTTCCTCCAAGCTATGATTTTGAAACATCTGATATTCATCTTAAATCCATCATAATCCTCTGATTGATATCACCTCTAATGGATTCTAAATATTGATTGGCACATTTATTCAATGAAAATCCTGTGTCAAAAGTTATTACGGGGAACATTATACATAATTATCATATATCAAATCACAGAACATCAACTTAGCTTGTCGCATTCAGTGAGCAATATTATAACACAACATAACTGTGATAATAGTGCTGTCAGTAAGATAATCTTCTACAATAATAGTCAAAATTCTTTGATATTTATGGTTACAACTTTAAAACCGATGATTTGCAGGCATAAAGTAAACATCACACCTTGCAATTTTTATTACCTACGCCATGGAGGTTATGGTTATGGTAGAGGTTTCACCCCTGTCTGTCTGTCTGTCGGTTTGTTTGTCATCAACATAACTCAAAAAGTTATGGACCAATTTTGATGAAATTTTCAGGGTAGGTCAGAAATGGGTTAACTTAGAAGTGATTAGTTTTTGGTGGTGATCCGGATCAATAATCAATCAATAATCAATAATAATCAAAAATCGCTGCCTTGGCGGAGGTCTGCGCTCTCGGAGTGCTTTTCTAATTAATCTATGAAGTTGGACTGTCTTTACTTAATGCAATAAGATGCATTTCTGGTGGTTATTTTACTTTTGAATCCTGTAAGAACGTCCACCAGTAAGAACCAATATCCAACAATTCAAGACACATTTTTCCCTTTATTACTAGCAAAATGAAATGAAAAACCTTGTTGCAAATATGATTGTATTTGTTGTACTGTACATTCTCCATAAACACCATGATTTCTCTCATTATATATTGAGCTATCCCCTTTAAGTTTATCACTGGACTTCACTGGGACCATGTTGTATCAGGTCACTTCAATCTCACCAACTTTACAGGAGTTTCAGTGCCCTTTGTATTTTGACTGTCGCTTGCCTTTGTATTCATTTAGACAATAACATGGTGAATAATAGATGGTAATGTTTTGATAACTATACATCTAACAGGTAAAATTAAGAAAGATATCTGAACTGGGTCCACTGTTACTGATGAGCATTTATTCTGCAACAAGTTCTCAATAATGTACTTTTGAAAATGATCTTGTGAATTTATATGATGAATGCCTATTTCTAACAATGTTATTACAAGAAATATGCCATCTGATTCAATCAACTATACAATGCCTGTAAGACTAATGTAGAAAATAATACTGGAGATGTCGGCAATTTCCCTGGCAAGGTATAGCCTATCCAAAATGGTTGAGAAAATGGCAATCCATTAAATTCATTTGCGAGCTCTTCATTTCTGATAATTCCAGTCACACGTGGTACTCACCAGCCTTGACCCCACTCTAATACTGGTTCAAAATGAATGGGAAATATAAAAAAAAAAGTAGAAAAAACACAGTCACATTTATAAATCTATATTTTGCCAATTTGGGCTATAATTTATGGTTTTTGGTAATTAAGGGTATAATGTTTAAAATTCCAGGTATGTTACAATTTTGCTATGATATCAAGGTTTAATGCTAACTGTGATACTTTGCTGTGATAAGTAATGTAGCAATGAGCCATGAAAAGAACAATCCAGTGCCAGACCCCCGACCCCCACCCAGGTGAGTGGACACAAACTCAGCACATTTCCCTTGGGAAGAAGACAGCTTCTGTCATGTCAAATAAGGTTGATTTCATAGTGTTAAATAGTGTCAATTCCAAGAACGACGTTACTTTTATGGCTTCAAGCTTTCTTTTTGATTTCAGTATCATTTAAAGATTCATAAAATATAGAGATCTCTCTTCAATCTTCCGACCAGGTTATTTATGACAGGCAATGTCACAACACAGTACTGACATAATTCCTTTCCCATGTGAATCAGCTGCCATATCCCTTGGGTCTGGGCCAGATTCTTCACCTCGGTTCATAATGCCATATTTATGATATATAACCAAAACGTGTATTATCAACCAGACAGCAATTCCCAGCACCGAGCTCAGTAATTTTCTTAATTTTTCTTCAACTATTATGAGTAATTATTAAGATAAAATGAATATTAAAATGACAAACTGCAAGCACTCCTGCATTACATTTTAACCATGGGAGTTTTTACTTGGTAAGATATGTAATTTTCAGGGTTGACTATGATAAAAAAAAACACTGTATAATTAGAACCCAGGAAGTACCTCAGGTAAGAAAACGATTTGTAATTTTTTCATCCATTCTAAATATTCAGGCATTCCGTGATATTAAAATCATCAAATAAAAATATTTAACGGGTTTTTTTTATACATAAAAAATAATAAAAATTGAGTAAGCAGAAAACACACACTTGGCAGTTTTTTCTTTGCTTTTATTTGAATAACAATTTAAACATTCGAAAGCAACATTTTCTCTTAAGATTTGAATTTTATATATACAAAGGAACAAATACAAAGTCATTTTCCAGAACAATTAGGAATTTCTTTAAACTTCTGACCCAAACTGTATCACTCTATTTTTTTTTGATCAAACCAATATATATTGGTCTTAAGCAGCTCAACTAAACACAAAAGATTTAAGACAAAAAAAAAAAATGTAATTACTGTAAATGGCCACACTTTGGCACCATCACAAATTTCTACTTAATGAGCCAATGACTAAAGTGAAATAGTTCCATGTAAGAGGTCCTACAAGTCCTGATTACAAATACACTGAGAGAATCAAATCCATGAACACAGCATAATCAAATTACTTCCTCTATCTGGCAGCTTCTAAAACTGATAAGAAGCTAGAAGTGATTCCTCTTCCACAAATGCTCACATTTTGCTTTACAGAAAAAAAAACTTTCCCAACATGCAATGGACACTGGACAAAACTATTCTAATAAATATATTATATATATATATATATATATCATACTATTTGATGTACATAAGAACTGCTAAAGCTTTCCAAGGTTGACAACTGCAGCATTCAACCACCTTTAAAATTGTCAGCCATGCTCTGCACAGCACTGCTCTACAAAGTTAACTATAAGTACCCCTCTTTGCCATGTGACCTGTGAATACAAAAAAAAAAAAAAAAAAAAAATCCTACTCTCAGGAAAAATGCTGCAGTGTCTTATTGCAGCTGAAAGGTTTGTTCAAAAATAGAGTAAATCTGACTAAACACCAGGACTCATAAGACACACTAATGAAGGAATTATATACCAGGTATTTAAATGCAGAGGGGTCACTGCCCCTGTGTAATCTGGGCACAAAGAAAGAAAGAAATTGGTCTGATAACCTGCCAACAAGCTACTGTGGGATCAGAACAAGCCTTCACTGGATACAAAATACGATCAAGCCGAACAAAATCTAAATGCAAAGATCTCTTCAGGGAAAGTGAAAAACAAATCAAGAAAAGTAGACAATTCTCTAAGTACCTCTTGAAGAAGAAAAGACATCAAGATGAAAAAGAAAGCACTTACGCAATTATCAAACCCTAATGCCCTGCTGCCATACAATGAATATATCAACTTCAGTGTGTTGTATAATAAGATAAATATGTATATCATGGAAGATTTCATCACTTAGAGCAAATAAGACTTCACTACATGCAGTGAGAAATATTAGCAAGAATGCACAACTCTTCATATAGAAAACCTGCCGGAATATGTAAAATTAGGGACCTTTCACGAAAGAACGTCAGTCCAAATCAGTCTTTCCTCTAAGATGGAGAAACTGGTGCATTTCTAGCCAGGCTATATTTATAGAGGTCTGCTAAATAGTACGTATATGTCTAAGACTGCAGGGTTCATACAGGAATACTAAGAACAAATTCAGACGAGTGCTTTTCAAGGACTTTTGGAAGGCAAAGGAAGGCAATTTACTGTCCTATGTATATACCAAGGAAAAAAGTAATATTTTATAAAATTTTTTCATTATAGCACATTAATAATGAAACATGAAAAGAATAAAATGAAATGTTGTCCAAAATGAGTACTAGTATTCTCCCCTTTTGCCAAATACTGTCTACATTCAGATAAAAATGACAAAGACTTGGAACAAGTTTTGACAAATTGCTTAGTGATTGAATTAAAGTACTTTTCAAGGACATAAATGATGGAATACAAGTCCTTCTCAAGGCCACAAACTGAATTAAAGGACCGGGGCTTAATTCAAACTTTTTTCAAGGCTGTATGAACCCTGGACATTAGACATGTATTACTTTCCGTGAAACAGTCCTTCTATGCCGATTTAGCTGCACCTTTAATGACTTTCCTCAGCCAACATAGGTTAAAATAAATAGTCTTGGAGTAAAGACCAACCTTGTAATCAAGTCCTTCTCTGAAACTTGTCCCAGATACATGGCATGAAGCATGCTTCAATAATAAGGTGACAGTCATTTGAAGGTGTTTTCATACCAAGCAAATCAATACATTTGCCAGGATCATTATCTCTCATCAGGTTCCACATTTCCACTTGTGTTCAACTCATAACTGTTTTTTCTTCTGTTAACATTCATGCTGTAATCACATTGTATCCGAACAAACAATAAACCAAAGTATGATCAATCATCAGCAAACATTGCCTGATTATGGTTTCTATGCATTCTTTTTTTATGGAAAATAAATGATATAATTACATTTAATGAACAGAGGAACACACTATAAATTACTATTATGCTTTATATTCTTAATACTGGCAGTAGCAGGAAATTACAAACTACTAATATTTAACTTTAAATGAATGGCGCTCATCCTACATTTTTCTTCGCAATAACTTTCAAGCAGTCTTTTACTAAAGAGGTGTAGCTTTTCAAATTTATGAATTTTAGATATTGTCTTCAATTCTGTCAATAAAACCAGTGACTAGTACAAGCTTCAAGTCCAGAAAGAAGTCTTGTTCTTTAAACTCACTCTTTCAGGTTTTCAATACTTTCTTGATGATGTCGATTCTAAATATACAAATTCTTGCAGGACAGAAAATCGTATATAATTCGTCAGAGACATATCTGTGAAGATATATCTAGTGAAAAATTATCTAGTGAAAAATCAATCTGTGGCCCTTGTGGAGCGTAGGCGTTAAGTGTAACTAATGAAAGTTTCTTCATTCTGAGGTACACTTTTAACAGTGAAATTATTATGTTAGCATTCAGTTGGAAGCAAGTCACCTGATAAATCAATCTTTATCCAGTAAAACAATTAATCTGCATAAATTTCATAAATGCAAAATAACTATATCAAATAAAAAGAATACTTAATATATGTTTAATTATGCCAAATATGAAACAAGCATCCAGTGATCTCACTTAAACTTTCTTTGTTCGACAAGCAGCTAAAATTATACAAAGTTTTGTTGAACTGGCATAAAAGTCAAAAATAACCATCAATGAGTCCCCTTTATTCGCAATGATTGCCTAAAGAGAAATCTGAAACTCTTTGCTTCAAAATTTTTACTAATTATGCCAAAATGGCAAAAAATATATATATTAAAGGATTGATTGCATTTACCTATCAGATATACATGAACACACGTTTTGATTTACCTTGTTAACTACCTAACCAGAGAGTCCGACATACAAATCTATGTCTGTACAAGGTGTTTAAGACATGTCTGTCTCTAGATAGGAACAATGGAGCCTCATCTCAACTGTTGTCTTTTTTCATCTTCACATCTGGTTCAACTTCTTCAACCTGCAAAATTGTAACAGAGAACATAAGTTACATAAGTAATACCAATGTGCCACAAAGAATATTCATAGTATGAAAACTGGTTCAGAAGTACGAACAAGCACCAAAAGTTTCAGAAGAGACAGCCATAGTGCACAGAATCACTGCCAAGGAATTTATATCAAACTTATCTTTATAATCCAAATATTGATTTTAAAATAAATAAATAAACAAACAAATGCCAACTATAGGAGGAGTCTGAGGCATTTGCTGATATTCACTGACAATAGTGAACATTATACCACACAAAATGGAAGACCCAAATTTCAAAATACTCAAGGAATCCAATTCCAAGTTAATTCCAGGGTCAAAATTGAAGGCAATTGCAATGTGACACTGTGAATCCAGACTGAGCTATCCCAAGAAATTTTGAATCATGGGGTGTTTTAATAGGATGCAGCTGATGAGGCAAATTGCACAAAATACTGGAGTAAAAATGAGAAATTTTTGGAAGCTTTACTTTAATGGCATCAGAAGACATGAGCAATAATTTGTTAGAGAGAGAGAGAGAGAGAGAGAGAGAGAGAGAGAGAGAGAGAAAGAGAGAGAGAGAGAGACCAATAAAAAACATCATTGCCACATTTGGGAGACAAAAGACAAATGTGAGTGTGTGTCACTGTGTGTGTAACCAGTCACACTATAACAGTAATCTATATATACCCGTTACACAGAAAGCCTGCAGTAATAAACAAACCATCTCTCAGCTCACAATGCTAATGCACAATGCAACAATCAATATCAGCCCAATTTCTTATCCATTCATGCATGAAGCTGCCAATAAGGAAATTAGTCCATGCAAGTGTTGATAAAAAAAAAACCATGACATTTTAAAACAAATCGGGCCTCTCTTCAACATGTTGTTAATTTTAACCAACAGTTGATCATATTTTATGTTTTAATAAATGTACAGTATTTCATCAATATTCAATAATCTAACCACTGATCCAGTTAAAAACTTTGACTTGACTTTATCCAGCTGTGCATCCACAACTTATCACAGCCTGGAATGAACCCACAGTATGTTACAAAAGATCTTACATATGACATAAGGCTGTATTCCCAGAACTTTTAGATCGATCTATCCCCGCGGGGAGTCTCGCTAGATTACTGTCAGATAATCCGGCTTAAATGTCTGTTCCGCCTACTACAAGCTGTAAGGGGGTAATTAACTTTCGTGTCCGCCCGGCTGACAGCTATTTAGTGTGAACCCCCAGGGAGTTAGGTCGATCTAAAGTAGATCTAAAGACTTTGGCCCATTATATCATTAAATGCCTTCCTGTGTTTGCATGCCCTAGGCTTATTTTGACTGAGATCTACTTAATTAAGACAAAGCCTGTTTCATAACTAATTTAAGACTAATTATCATCACAAGATTGCAGGCAGACCCCACTCAGTCTACAGACAAAGCTTATTTTGTAATGAAAATAAGACTAATTCCTCTCATCAGATAAATTGGATTCCAGGAGACCCCAGAGTCTCAGAGAATCAAAATCTCAGGTTAACAGCTTTTTTCTGATGATGCAAATTAGCTTCATTTCTTTTCCAAGGCAGTACTCATCTCGGAATACTAAGAATGCATCAGGTGACACCTCACTGATTACTTCAACCTAGACCCAGCCCTAAAACTAAAATCAATCAGTCATCTGAATGGCAAAGTTACAATATTGTCAAATCTTCTGTGATGAGTATTCAAATAGAAAGAGCATAAAAATGACCAAGCACATGCCAATTGGTTTAAGTGCACGCGCTTAGCTAAATATAAAACCTCAATTTGTGGGGATCTGAGGCTTTTCATTTCACAACGAAGTTCATCACTTTCAGAAGCTGATAAATCATGTCTGACTTTTCTCAGTGACATCAGTATATTATCACACATGCTGTATTGTCTATGCATTGAGAATCTATTCAACAAGGAGGCATGTATGTTAAACAGAAGACCTAGGTGTTGACTGTAAGGTATCAGAATACAGTACTTTGCTGTGTATCAAGAGGCAGGCCTAAAGAGAGCAGTTTCGGTGGGCAGGGGTGGACAGTGGGGGTGTGGGGTCCTTTTTTTTTAGAAAAAAAACTTTTTTACCCCTTCAGATGACCCAACTTAAAAATGAGCACAGAACATGTATCAAATGCTATCTTTTCAAAATGTTATGTCTTCAACCAAATGGCCACTGAACAACTTTCACAGATTGAAAGTGTGACTCTAGTATTAGTCACAGCTTCTTTCTACCATTCTTAAATCATCCACTGCACTCAACGAGATTAAAAAACTTAACTCTTCTCCGAATACAAAATGCCTAGCTTTTAATCACCATGGACTCTTTACTCTGCTGTGAATGTTCAGACAAGTAGGCAGAGCAAATACCACCAACATCAGCTAACTTCACATGAAACTACTGTTAACTAGCGGGTGACGTCAACCAGGGAAAATTTTCATCCATCACGTCCGACGCGTCCCCACCTAGCACCAGTCAACGTGACTGCAGGCAATGGTAATGGCTGCTGGGAAGTCTGGTTCCTATCTACACTGAAAACTGATTCATCATATGGAAGTTATCACTTAAAATATTTAACATTGACACCCGCTCACTTCTAGATTGACAAGATTTATCAATTAGAAAAAAATTTGACCCTGGTTTGACTTAACCACTTCAGGAAGAGGGGTTATCTCTCCTCGCCTAAGCCACTGCTCTTTCCTCATTAATTTTCATTTTTCTCTCTTCTTCTCCCCCCCCCCCCCATATGACCTGTGGAAAAAATCAATCATTCATTAAGTAGCTACAGTCTCCATAATAAACATTTCTCTCCCATATCACTATTTCTCCTTTTCATCTACATCATTCAACTTCTGTTGTGAGCATAAACTCATAATGTCTCTGCAAATATACTCAATACAATTATAACTTTTAATACTTAACATAAAATTCTATAAAAAATGATCTTATTTTCAACTGACAGTCCCAAAATACAACCCTATCCTTGCAGTGCAGTGTCAGGTGTACTTATTCTTGTCCTTAATGTCATTGCTGAATTGTTAAGCAATTCCGTTGACGTAAAAGCTGATACGCTACAATTTACTTTTCTGCCTTCCATTTCCTTGCCACCCATATTGTTAGAGAGAGTATAGAGTAAGGTTCCAGTATTTTTGCACCCAAGGCCCCTTTGAGTGCTGCAACATGGAAACCATTGCCACAGCCCCCCCCCAAAAAACACACACACACACACACACACACACACACACACACACACACACACACACACACACACACACACACACACACACACACACACACACACACACACACACACACACACACACACCAACTATATCCTACTTCTGATAAATGCACCTGTATTAACTGCTGTTTGGTACAGCTATGACTAAGCATATACTACAAACTTCCAAGTTTGTCATTTCTTGTATGCTCCTGTCTAGAGTAACACTGTGCCTGGTTTTGACTTTATGAAATTCATATAACGCAAATAAATTGATGATACTACTAATTTCTGGACTCAAGTTGCTGCTTGCTACACTGTGTACTACCGAGATTCAACATGCTATCGTATTATGCAATAATTACCAAGTTTTTGAAATCAAAACAGTAAAATTAATCTGAAAAGGAAAGCCTGAAGATTTGAGTGGGCAGACAGACATACATCCCCAAAAAACAGACCAATCAATTAAAATGTTGACTTTAATGGGATCAGCCTTATCTCGGTTCTGTTTTGATGTTAAATATACTTTACACCTTTCTAATCGCAAAATACAAATCCAGGACAAGTAATCTAGAACCTTGATCTAAAACAAGTAAACAGACTAAATGAACCAATCCATAACAGCCTACTTTGTCAGAGCAGAAAAAATTATATCTTCTTTTGATAAGCAACATTTTACCTTCCTTTTAACATACGTTCACACAAAGACACACTTACAAATTGACAAAATATAAATCAAAATTCACACCAAAGTACCTCTTTGGTTAGGTACTAGTAGGCAACAAAGTGACATTAAGCTATTTGTTATCCTTTTTTCTTGGATTCAAAACAATTTACATCATTCATACACATCTAAGAATTTGCAATTTTACCATGGCCTTCATAAAAAAGAGTTTCCTTAATTACAATAATTAGTTTGGTATTAAGCAAACTTGTGTACGTAACTTGGAGAGATTACAGTCAATAAGGACTGTGCCAACCTCAAGACAAATCACAGGAATTTAGGGAATGAAATCTGACAGAAAATAAATACCAAATTTTTACAGTCTTAATACCTGAATTTAGTTGAAACTTCACTACTGATGTCTTTAAGGGTGAATATATCTTTTTTATTGTAAAGAAATGCTTAGAAGTAGAGAGTATTACAGTTGAACAAAATATACGAGAACATATTAAAGAAGATTATGTCAAAATAAACACCAAGACTTTACCAGAAACTAATTACAGACATCAGCAAGTAACACATATTGGGCAATCTATGGTGAAATCTACTCAAATAACTGAAATCAATGGGCATTTAGATTATGTCCAACTGAACATGATGATAACTGTCAAGCTGTACAAAGTAATCAGACTCTGACTATACTTTAATTGTAGTCAAGATAAGAAAGCAGACATTGATCTGATTGTGCTGGGAGTTAAGACTGGCCTAGACAGCGAGGAGAGGGGAGGGGAAGGGGGGGGGGAGGGGAAGGGGAAGCTGGGGAACAGCTTATAGGACCACATAATAACAGCATTGAGCTTGTGGTTTATCTGAAATTTTATTCAACATCTAGACTGAAGAAATTTGACCATGCAAGATGAACTGAAAAACAAAATATCCCTGAATAGCGTTTTAAAATACCAATGTTTAATATCCAAACCTTAGTTTTTCTGATGAAAGAAAAAGAAAAATCAATGAAAAGTTTGAACTGGTGGTCTGTACTTCAATGCCCACCCAAAAGTGACATGCCATAGCTGAGTAACCTTAAGAACTACACTGTTGTCATGATTATTGTTCTGGGCATGTTATTCTAAATAATTTAACTAGCTTTATGTTCAACATCTCCCCTTTCCCATTCAAATAATTTTTTTCCATCAGCTGTGAATATTCATCCTCTTATAAAAGCATTCACCTTCTCTCTCTCTCTCATAAAAAAGACCATTTGACGGATAGACAAAATAACATCAATGATGTTTTGATTTTCTAAACAAGGAACAAAGTACCATTATCCAGCTGTTCTATAAGTGGAAAGTGGAACACTGTACCTCAATGGGCCTTCCTCTTATCAAAAATCTACACACATCACCTCTTGAAGATATCTCTTCCCCTCAACTTCCTTTACATCGAAATCATAGTGCTTGCATACTCTTAAGAAAATATTTACACTCTGAAGTCAAATACATTTCAGTAATGAACCAAAACTACAGGGACAAAAAAAGTCTTCAAATTATAGATATTCATGTGCGTCAAAAACAAGATGTCTAAACATTTACTCCTTTAGGTCATGAGAACAAAATAGAGGTAATGATTTCTATTGCATTACATAAACCTACATTATTTACAATGTATAGTAGCTAAGATACGGTAACCATGTAAAGAATTGATTTTATATCGAAGCTCAGAACTGCCTCAAGGAAAGGAGTGGGTACGATGTGTTGGAGGAGACAAAGATTGTAAGTATGAGGCATTGATTTGTTAAACATAAGGGGGAATGCCACCCTAATTGCGATAGAGAAGACAACTTGGTTGTGAACGAGAAAACACAATGTGGCCAAATATAAGCACCTGACCTCACTAAGACAAAGCTGCATAAAACAATTTAAACTGTAAAAATCTCTATACATGCTGGGGTTTTACTTTTTAACACGTGCATCCTTAGGATAAGTTTACGTACAAGTTCCACGTCCACTGAGCAATTTTTTTTGTTCTACATTGCATTCCATATGAAAGAGCTTCTCAAGGCTTTTCTGTATTCACTGCACTTTTAACAACACTTCATTGCTTTCACTTTTCAATTCACCTTTGGATTTTTACATCACCACTCTTCAAACTTCTTTTTTTTTTTAAATGCACTTAAATAACACCCCAAAGTCACAACAAAAACATACGGACATACATATCCATAGGCACACACCAACGAGCACACTACCTGCCATTCAGGCCTCTGGACTCTGGGGCACACACCCTTCTACTCACCATGTCCACGTCTACTTCCCACTCCTACAACAGAACCTATTAGAACACTCCAGGTTCTGGCATCCACTGGCCTCCTCAGGGTACGGGCCGTCCAGCAGGTTATCGCAGTAGTACAGCTCTTCCACATTCAGGGCATGGCAGGTGTCCACCAGACTGGTCAGGGCTTGACCACTCAGGTTACTGCAGCCGGACAGGTCAAGGTGTCGCAGGCGGGGAAGGCCATGGTTGCTGGCTAAAGCTCTAAAATAGGCATAATGTCCAATTAAGCGATGGCAAGAAAATTCAGATTGGACTCTGTTATAATCTATTGATTTTTGGTCTTAATAGGGTGGTTGCTTCTTAACTTGTAAACACCGCCATGAAAACTTGCAGCCTAAGTAAGCCAAAGTTTCTGCACAAAGAAGCACATCAAATGCTCAGGTCACCAAGTTTAATTAACATCATGGTCTGCCAGCTATGAAATAGATCTTTTCTGTCAGGCTCTTAATTTCAGGGGACATAGTTAAGACAAAAGGGTAAATGGGGCTTCTTTTTCAAAACTGACTACAGTGAAACTGAAAGAGTAAATGCACAGACTTTTTCGAAGGTCTATAATAAATGAACTATAAAACAATTGCTGAAAAAGAAAATTTTGAAAGAAACAAATACAATACAGATTCATCTAGAGCTCCCCACTGATAACTCTTCACTTTCCAACTGACAGTTTAATAATGATTCTAAAAGCAACTTTAATGTGATATGCAGCCATTTACTGGCACAATTTCTACCACAGCTCTCTGGACTTCAAGAACCTAAGTTTGGTCAATATTCATCAGATTGTCCCTACAGTTGCAGATGACTCCAACCCAATTTTCATACTATGGAAATAGTAATTCTTAGACCCTTATTAAACAATCTGCCTTATGTGAATCCATTCACCAAGATAATTAAGTAAACAAGTATTGAACAAGATTGGTTTTCTTCTCTTTACTCCTGTCTCCCCCACAAACCTCAATCCAACATCAGTGACCATGCAGCAACCAGATAAGTCCAGATATTCCAGAGTCTTTTTCACATCTATCACATCAAACTGCGGCTTCTCTACCGCAATCTGCCTCTCCTCTGTCAGGAGTCTGGAACAGTTCTCAATGCTGCCGACATTTCCCGTCTGGTGGGGGCAGTTCTGGCACGTGGACATCACCTGACCTTCCACTTGGGGGACACCCCCCAGCTCCAGCATTGTAAACGTCCTTTGGAGCTGGGATTCAAATGAATCGAAGTCTATATACTGATGGGGTAACACTGTGGTGCTGCCATCTATACTATCACAGGACAGCTTTTCATCGTCGTCTTGCATACTGGGCACTTCTGCGTGATCTTCATATTCACCACAAGGGGGAGGTACCTGTGCATGACAGTCGTATTTCTCTTGGTAAATGTCTTTGTCGTCAGATTTGTTGTTCTGGCAGCAGAATTCCTCGGTCCATACTGCCTCCAACCCTCCGCTGAGAGCCTGAGACAGCTTGATTAGTGTATAGTCTGTTATGTTTGCACAGCCTGACAAGATCAGGGTTTTCAGCTTGCTACCACAGCCGTCCTTACCCAGTCTGGAAGTAAACACAGTGTTGTAATTATATACAAATTATAATTCATGAATTAGGACAATATGACCCCCCCACCTTACCATATTATTTGAGCATGCTGCGAATAAAATTTAACATTAAATTCTTCTTTAATGAGAGGCTAATGGCTGTAATTTTACAGCCATTTTCATCTTACTGAAATTCAGTGTAAATTGATTCTGTAATTCTGTGACCAGATGATATAATAAAGTATACAGAGAAATATGTAATAGCAGACATTTGCATAAAACTTAATCTCATTATCAGTGATACAGTTTGCTGATTGTAATTGCAATCTTATCTCTGATACGTTCAAAAGCATTTTTTTTTCACTTCCATAATTACTTATTCTGCGAGGGGTCAATGATATCCATACTGTTTACCTTTTAAATGCAGTGTCAGACACATTGGTTTGTTTGACATCCAGGTGCTGCACATTGGGGCAGTGCTTCAACATCTTACTCAGCTGAAAATAACATTTTATTCACATTTTTCAGATATATTTGGCTGCTTTCTCACATTATACTAAAGCATAAAACTATTTAACTGCAAAAAATTGCATTAACTATTTTGTGCTCTCCTAGAAGTATAATGTAGCCAAGTTCTTCAATATGTCAGCAACTGTTTGTTTTTTTAAATCTTTTTATGCCATCTTTCCAACATTGGACTAATTTTTGATCATATTTATCTATAAATACATATTTAACTGACCTAAATAATCTTATAATTATTATTATTACCACTGTAATTGTTAGTATCATAACTTATTAACGTACCAGCCCATTGGTAATAGCCTTGCTGTGAGCAACACTCAGCGTTTCAACAGACTTCCCCACCTTTGGCAGCAAGTTCTTTGTGATACTGACTAGGACTCGAGCTTCTTGGCGCAGCTAAAAAATATTCAAATTTCATTTGTACAAATGACTTAGGTCAAGTACTGCACCATTATGCATACCTTGTAGTCAAAATACAGAAATCTTTCTTACATAATTCAAGACTTTTTCCAATTCAGTTAAGAGAATTATTGCAAGAGTTCACAGATTCTGAAAATAACTGAAAACTTGCTTTTGGCACCTAGCATTGCAAATCAATTCTTTATGTATTATTTTCAACAGCACCAATTTGAATTGTCTCAATTTTAGTTAGTCCTAGTCTTGATAATGCACAGGAGCAGCCTTTGGTTTCCCCAGTGAGGCTCTGATTATAGAAATCATATTTTGACACCATACCTGCTTTATGTTCTCATTGTAACTATCATTGCTGCTGTGACTACTGTCACTGTCATAGGTCTCATCAATGTCAGCATCATCATCAATGACTACGTAGCGGTCTTCACTGAAATCCTCTGGCTCCTGCTCCAAGTCAGGGGCACTGAAGCTCCAATTACCTGAAACAGTTGAAAGAAAAGACATCTTGTGTATTCTTGAACTTAGTTTTAATGAATTAGTTTCTTATCTGAATTTAGAAATATACAAATATGGCCATATTTTTAAATATAATATGAAAATTGGATGATAAGTTATTTTAGTCTGTACACATATCAAACTCCAAAAGAAGTGTTCAATAAAATCTCAACCCTAAAAAGTAGCATTTACATCCGTGACAATCAGGTTTCTTGTATTTCTATCAGGTTTCTTGCGGGTAAATATTTTAAAGGTCCTAACAGTGATCCAATCCTTGCTTTTAACTTATGCACAGCCAAACCCAAAAATCACCCCAACTCCATGCACCCACCCACCCACCCACCCACACCCATCCACCTACACCCACCCACCCACACCCACCCACCCACACACACACTCACACACACAGTTTTCCCCTACCTTGAGCCCACTGCACTGGATATATTGCCTTCCACAACTGTCCATCCATGGTCAGTGTATTCCAGGTCTTGCACACCTGAGCACACCTGGCCAGATCCCGGGGGTTCAGGTAAGAGAAAATGTTGACCAACACCTCAGGGGGGAGCTCTACCTGGGACCTTTCTCTGGAACTCTCTTTTTCTGAACAAGAAGAATTGATAAAGTGGGCATATACATAAAGATTTGTTTAGATGTTAAATAAAGTGAACAGTTGTGTTCTTCAACAAAAACTTCATACATGGTTCTTATCTTTTGAGGAAAAAACATTGTACAGAAGAAATATGTCTAGTTGGAAATGTCTAGTTAAATATGTTTTTATATAAAGTTAAGAACAACTAGTAGCTTGAAAAACATGGAAATTGCAACACAGTTACACCTTTTAGTACTATTTAAAAGGATGTGGTTTTCCTTACATTTTGAATGTCTACTGATCCTGGAAATACAAGGGTTATTTATTTCTCATCTGGAAAAGTTATTCAAGAATAAAATGAAAATGTAATTGCTACAGCTATGAGCAGCAACCGCCCACCTTCTTCTGGTGTGTCTTTCTCCTCCTCACACACCTCTTTCTCACTGTCGTCATATTTCTGGCGCTGGTGTTTTTCAATGTGTTTTTGTATCACTGCTTCTTTGATGATCTTCAACTCCTCGTATGGGAAATACTTGATGAGAAGTGGTTGAAACACCTAGAAAATGTTCATTAAAATATATTCTGGAGTCACGGTAGCATTAGCAATTTGTTTAGCTCAGCCAAATTGCCACTTTTTTTGTTAATTTGTTATCCAAATGGTTATAATTAGACTAAAATAAGTCAAATCAAGGCCTTTTGTTTAGCCAGTTTGTCAATTTTAGCATTTGGCTAAATTGGCGAGTGTTTGCACTACCCCAGACACTATATAAGTAACACAGAATAAGGCAACAGCCAGGGGTAGATTAGTTGTTCTAAATGATCCAACAGTTCAGTGTGCTTATAATAACTAAATGGAAAAATAGACCCTCATCACATACACAAAGACATTAAATTTTTTTTTCTGATACTTAGATTAAGCTGGCACATTAAGTTTTCAAGGAGTTTTTTAAATATGATTTAAATTGATTAAAATCTTTTTTCCCTATATCTCACCTCTTCTTCCTCTTTCATATGAGGTAGGAATTGCTCAGTAAACTCCTCCAGTGTTTCACGTAGCTGCTTGCCATAATTAATCCTATCTGCTGGATTACTGGTGACCTTTTCGAGACCACTTTTGAAAAACTCAATCATTTCTGTCAAGCGATTGTCTGAGTGGCAGTTGCAGACAGCAGTGTTTGTGATCTGTAAGGCTTTCAGTTTGTGTTTCAAGCGTTTCATAATGAGTTCATTTTCTATCTGTTCGTGGGCTTTGAATTCGGCAAAGGTGTTGCATAAGTTCTGGAGAAGCATTTCAAGGTCGAAATCAGAGCTGAAATTCACTGATGACAGCTAAAACAATAAAATAAAAATATATAAATAAAAAAGAGTTTTACAGTGATAACTTTCAATCAACTTAAAATACAAATCACATATATACTATCAATATCATAAGCTTTGTAGAGCATGTCTTTTTACATTACTCAAATACTTATTTTCTGACAATGATATAAATCAAGGGTGCTCATCTTTTATGTAGTAATAAAGAAGTTGTTTCCATTCATAACAGTGACTGGTTATTGATAGAAAACCCCTCAGCACTGCAGACATGCTGAAACTGTCATTTCTACGTGTCGATGACTGTCAAAATTTCCAAGGGACATGCAACAAATTTAAGAGCCCCAATTTTGAATTGTCTAATTATTTATGTATTCTAATACTACTATGTAAAATATATATAAAGCACAAAAAACTATTAAAAAAAATCTTTTCTGCTATAAAGAATGTCCTTAGATCCTGCAAATTTGTAACTGCTAGTCTGTTTGTCCGATTGTTTATAGAAGTGTATAATCATCAGTATCTGATATTTTATACAGATGCAATCTGTGCAAAGAGTTGAACTGACTGATGAAATCAGGCTATCGTGTATATTAATAGCCCAGGTGATACTGCCTGACACTTTTAACAAGGCACTGCATTCTGCATCACGACGATCCAAAACATGACCTACTTTTCTTCTGATCTACTGTGACTCGGACACGGCTCGACTTCCAAGTTCAGTGTTTATCATTACTATCCTGATCATGTCATTTTACACAACACACAATATCTTGAAATGAAGTTTACCAAGTGTCTAAATAAAAACTCCTCTTAACTGGCTTTTAACGAAATAAATATACCATACACTGAAAGTGGAAAGATATCTAAAACTGACAGTATTTTCTGAAATCATTCGCAGTGCGTCTCTTCGAGTTATTGACTCCGTTCAACAGAACATTAAAACAGACAAAATATAAGAGGCATTGTAGGGAATAGTATGCTTATACTTACCATATCGCAATACTTATGCACCAACTGCTTCATTCGAGAGTGGGGAATGGTAAAAACATCAACTTCCTCAGGAAAGGGTGCCATTTTGGAGCAATTTTGAGTCTCGGTCAATCTCGTACGTGTTGACCAACAGCGTGATTCTGACGTCACATCCTTTGTTGCCTTAGCGACGTTGATATCGCAAAGTGTAGTTTCTACCTGGCTGCAGTTGCGTGGGGAAGCCCAAAAGAAAAGGAACGGCGTCCTTTTTCATTGACACCAAGGCTTCAGATTAAGTGTCCAAGCCATTTGCAACCATGGCGAGGTATATGGCCAACACTCAAGCTCAGAAATTCTGGGAAGAGTCTATAACCAAAGAAGAACTGGCTCGTTTGCAGTGGTTCGCCAAACTCCGAGGACAATCGACAACAGAAGGTAAATCGCGCCAGTATGAGGTGAATCGTAAGAAAATCGACAACGCTCCAAAAGTAAACGAAGATCTCCAAAAGAGACTACCAAAGATTAAGCCAAGGCAGTACCACAAAAAGAAAGCAGATTACAGCTTTAATTATGCCAAGCTAGCAGCTGAAAACCCCGATGCCGTTTTAGTCGAAATGCGCCCAGTTAGTCCAAAAACCAGAGAACTTTTATACCAAGGTTTCACCAAGGAGGGAAGGGGCAGATATCAGTATTTGAACCAGAGATACCATCAAGCCATCCCAGAAAAGAAATACTCATACCCCCTGCTGAGTTCATGGGAATATGGCTGGCGACTAGAGGACGTGATCAAGAAGGAAGAAATTAAGAAGCCTCAATTCGGACGTACGCGTATCGTCGCAGACACTTTCTATACTAGGACTGGAATTCCTACATTGAGCTCATACTAACTGTGTTTTTTTCTGCCAGACTCATACAGGATTCACACACAAAAACTTGGATCTAGTGACGATTTTATTCATTGCCACCCAGCAATTAATCTTCTCCTGCATATGGCGTTTAGCATTTGTAAACGTTGACGGTGTAATACGATATATGCAGGTACAGTTATAGACCAGCTCACATTGCTCAAGTGCTTGTCTGCTGTTGCTAATACATTTTTTTCGGGACCAGGGGGCCATTTTCATTGCAAAGGCTCAATGGGAGAACATTTTTATGCTCAGTTTCATGGGCATTTTTTGTATTTAATTGAGTATCACTGACCAGACCAAGCTCGTATTACCTGTTAACAGCTTGGCAGCATTGACGCTGTGGTTCATTATCTGCTGGAACTCATTCATCGTGATTTAAAAGTATCAAGGCAATTTTTCTCACTTGACTGTAGGTAAAATGACTTTTTTCTATAGACATTGCACTGTGTGTATTGTCTTTTAGATAATGAGAACAAGGTTGATTTTGACATGTAGGTACTTTTTCACTTGTATAACTTTGGTGGGGAGTGGGGGGTGGGGTGCATGGCATTATAAGTGATACTTTTGGCACGTTTTTTGACTCAAGTGCCTGTTAAAAATTCAGAGGTTAGGTTTACATTTTTAATAATATGCTCCACTAGTTTTACACAATTAACATACCGCAAACCACAACCTCAGGTGTCTAAAGAGAATACAAGACATAGGCCTGCGACAGGAACCCATTTTCCCTACATCCCAAGAATGTGTTCACAATGACTGGCTTCAGAAGCCAGACCTGGATACACAAACATTACTACTGAATGGAGCAATTGTCAGGCTGATAAACCCACCAGGCAGCACACGCTTTGCTATTAAAAATGTAGCAGTAGCCAATCAGTCAGAAAATTGGATGAAATATCGATAAAATTACTCCTAGTTTCCATCACACGCTGACAAAAAACACTTAGCCAGGTAACCACGAGAACATTCAGTTATATCAGGTGTCTTTGTATTCAGTCTTTAGTGCAGTCAATGGGGTTAAACAAATCGACAAGCATTTATACAGTTATCAGGGCTGTGTAACACTTACCGAGCTTCTCTTTATACTGAGTTTTACCATTGTGGACTGCTTTTGTGTGCCTTTCATAAAATCCATTAATCGCACGAACAATCACAGTAATAGCATTGATAATCAGTCTTAGGGAAGGTGAAAGCAGATTTCTGTGATCAATTTTATGAGTATTTAATTGGTGCCAATGCATAATTCAGATAATCATGGAGTGCAAAATGCCATTCTTATGTAATCTATGATGTCATAGTTGAATTATTAAGATTTACGTGAACCAACTGGTTTGCAAATCGAGATCCTTATCAAGATCCGTCCATTTGTACATAAAGAAAAGATTGTATATACATATATATCATATTATATGTGATAGATTTACTACCTAGAATCTGTAGAACTTCTGCATATTTAGATGTGATAATTATAAAAACTAGAAAAAATAGTTGCAACCATTTTTGCCATTGAGAGTGATTTAAGATATATGTACTTTAAGCATTCCAAGGTGTCCAATGATCAGTTCAAATACTGTATAAATTTATAATTACATAACTTTTCAGGTGTAATTTGTCTGTATTATTCAGTGCTGAAATTTCAATCCTGCACTCCTCACTTCCTTACTGCTTTCTAGTATTACCGCCATGTGCATTGGTACGGAATACCAGTACTCCGTACTGCATATCACGTCCTTGTCTTTTCTTTTCACACAGATGAATCATGATCTACTGTGAACTATTGGCATGGAAATAAATCTTTTTTGTGCAATGATCTGTTGTTAATTGTTTGGTTCTTTTGGATTTATTTTCAAAGAATCGTGCTTGAAGTGGGAAGTAAATGAGTCAATTGCATCACTTAACTTTGCTTTCATCCTGAAGTTTAAAAATTGCGGGGGTGGGGAAGGCAATGAAGAAGGCAATGTCATCAAAAAAAAAAAAAAAGAATATCTGAATAATCATGTTCCAGCAGTGTGAATGAAGAATAACCTAACAGCATGACATCCATTAATCAATGGTGCAAACACTGCCGACTATGGTCCTCTCCTCAACTGATGTTCATCTAATGGAAAATAGGATTTATACATTTATTTCCAAAGGTCTGCATGGGCCTATTAAATCAATCATATAGTTAAAAGGACTTAAAACCCTAGGATATTGAAACAGGACAACAGGCTGGACATAAAAGAGCTGTCCGTTTAAGTGCACAAACTGTAAATGGCCATAGTCACTATGGGGTCAATGGGGTCTAAATGGACCCTTTGACCATAATCATACATTTGCCCTCAGGGGCATAAGCTGTGAGATCATATTGAATGGCAGTGTGCGTGTAGTATTCTGTTTTTCATTCGAACCTGAAGAAATAATTGAATAGTTTGTTCTTTTCACAAAGCCTTAAAAAAGGGTAGTGTACCTGCATAAGATAACAGTTTTGACAGCTTTTGTCCAAATAATTTCCCCACTTTTCTTTTTGTTCCCCTCCATTCCTCATTTTTTTAAACCTGAGGCAATAAAACCACAGTGGAATCAAATGCCGTAGAATTATACTCTGTTGGATTCATCACAATTTCTCAGCTGATTATGAAAAGTAACCAAGGGTGAAAGGCAACCGACTGTGAACCTGAATACAAATGTTTACATAAATGTGAATTCATGCACACTTTAACCTGTGTACGGCTTTATTACGACCATTCAAGAACATTTGCGCGCATACTGTTATATCCTATGTAAATATAATATCGGAAATAATTGAAATCTTACCCGGCCATTATATTTATTTTGTTCCTTCTTTTTATGGTAGCTTTAGTCTTGCATTAAGTGCATGCTCTCTTTCCTTTTGGTCATGTTTTCTCAATCTATCAAATTACTTCTTTTTTCTTTAACAAATCCCCTGCTTTTACAGTCAGTTAATACAATTTTGGTGATAATTTGGTCGAAATCAGAAAATTCACTAGGTCTCAGGTTTTAGTTTCTAATTAAGTTAACAGAGAGCTGCTTGTTGATAAGTATTTTATTCATTTGATCTTCAAGTACATATTCATATTTCAGACTTAAATTTAACATTATTATTTATATAATAATTATTATTAAAGATTTCTAAGTCAATACATATTTATGAAAAATATAGGATTTAAACCTTCCAGGTACCTCTTAAAATTGTACCATCACTCATCTGCCACTGCAATATATCACATATTGTGTGGCTTCCCTTGTGCATGGACATAATAATCTCTTATTATGTCTATGCCTTGTGTAAGTCTTTTTTTTTTTTTTTTTCATTTTACTAAAGTTCTCTTTCTATCTTCGCAATGTCTTTTTTAATAGATTATTATTCTAATTAGACAAATCAATACATTAGGTACAACAAAATCCCTGTTCAGAAATAGTTGACCAAGGTAATTTGGGGGGAGGTGACTCAGGTGGTTTGGAAAAAAAAATCTATAATGATGGTGTCCACGGCAAGACTATTCTTTCTATTTGCAAGAGCAGCACTGTGTGAGAATAATGATACCAGCAAAACACATCAGTTTTCACTTTGGTTTGAACTTTATTGAACCTTTCTCATTGTTCATCTCACCACTTAACTACGTGTGTGTCCAGAGGAAATTGTACCTTGCACATTTTTTTTCTTATCTAGTATTTTTTTTTTCTATTAAAGGAACCAGCACAGAATTTGCGACCCTTTTGAATGAATTCTCCATCACATATTGGATACTTCAGCTACTATAGATAAGATATAAGTAGGTTCTTCTGTTAAAAATGGTGATTTTAAGATTATTATGGACACCGGCTATCAGTGATCCCTCCCATTACTTATAATCACCCATGTAATGGCCACACACTGTCCACTATATGTCAGGGTTGCTTGGCACTCTAAAAGACAAGTTCACTCTCTGTCTAATTATTTGTGCTAATGGGTATGAAATCAGAGTCAAGTGGGCTTTAATGGCATACGTTAACAGACCAGAACGGAGAAAAAAAAATAAGGGGACAGTTTGTCAAGAGACTGCCCACAAAGATAACATATATATATATATATATATATATATATATATATATATATATATATATATATATATATATATATATATATATATATATATATATATATATATATATTATTTATTTATTTTTTTTTTGTAAATTGGAATGGATGAAAATGGACAGGGTATTTTACCTGTAATAAACATTGTTTTTACATGTACATATCACTAAGTCTTGTACATACTGAGAACTTAATATTTATATCGAACATTACATATAAGGGATACAGCTTAGGAATACAGCTGTACCAATACACTTATCAGACTTATGATAATTCTATCATGTAACGTAGTCCGTAATTATACATAATTATGCTACTGGATACTTTTCACCCCTTTTTTTACATTGTCTGCTTCCTGCTGTTAATATTTAGGCAGAAGTTGATAATAACAGTTTATGTCATGTTATATTGGTACAGCTGTACTGTTAGGATATTATGTTCGTTGTGAGACAGTAAATTTGTGCTGACAGTCATTAAGCCAAGTTCTATCCCTTCAACTAATATCCTCTTCACAGTCTTAATTAAAAGCTCATAATATCTTGATAAAAAAGGGGTAGAACACTGATTAAGTTTGAAAAAAAAAAGAAATCAAAGTAAAAGAGGTATATTGGTATGAGCTATCACACACTGATCTAAAAGCTTGCTGGCTTGAAAGTTAATTTCATATGATAAATTCTGGTTTCTTCACCATTGCCACTTTGTTAATTTTTCAGTTGGCTTTTTGCATTATTGATATTTTAACTTTTGACCCAACTTAAAAAATAAAATTAAAATAAAAGATTGACCAATTACCATCTGGATCAAATTGAACTCGAGAAATTAACAACCGTCATACCAAGAAACTTAACGATTTCAACTCTTAACTTAAGCAGTCCCATCTTTCAAATTATACTTAAGCTACTAAGATATAGTTTGTAACTTTAAAACCCAAGGTACATGTGTATAGTCGATATGCATTTTATCATCTACAAACACATCAATAGTACTAGACCCTCTCGCTGACAAAGGACCTCGGGGTAATATAGCGCCTTGGGGTGTGTTCACATCCAGATGTACTTGGACAAGAATTGGCTTAACTGAAGTGAAATTTATGATAAAAAGTAAATCATTTTTAAAGAGTCACTAAATGTGTTTTCTGTATTAATTAGTTGTAACGAGTCAGTTTTGTGCTTAAAGGCTCAAAAGATGAAAAGTTTAAGTTCAATGCCTCAACATACATGTTCACTCTTAGCAATAATATTTTCTTTCAATCATTATTGTCCCATAGACAATAAAATTTCTCTTAAACAAAAACAAATGTCTAAACATGAGATTTAAAATTTCAAGGCAAATTATCGAGGGGGGTGGGGGTGGGGGGTCCCTACATAATAGATATGGTCCTTTAGTGAGGTCAGTCATGCTATTCCCAGTTTAGGTCAAACTGTAGGTTTTTCTGGTTGTGAACACAATCTTCAATATGTGCCAACCAGTGGGTTATCAGCAACTTATATGGCTGTAAAAGTATCATAACACCTGAGGTGTCCTGTTATCAGTTTAAAATTACAAACTGACAGCTTTATATATCACCTCTCTGAAAAATGTCTCCAGAAGTAATAGATAAGAAAAAAAAAATTAGTTGACTGGTATATAAGCTTACAGTATAGTGTTAAATGTATGTGACTGTGTACATGTACATATATCCATTTTTTTCTAATATTGACAGTTTTATCTAACATTTATTTCTGCCTACATCATACATCAAAATATTGTTAATCTAAACATGCATATTAACCCATCCTTTAAAATCTCAAGTGCATATACAGACTTTGATAATACAAAAAGTGTCATGTTTCATTGACAACACTTTATAGTATCATGCCCATTAAATAACTGTCAACTTTCTGCCAAGATTGTCTGCATTCAGGTGCCAACAACTGAATTCATTCAAGCATGTTGTTACAAAACAGCAATAATCGATGAGATGTTATGACATTCCAACCAAAAAAAGGGTGTCTGAATATGAATCTACTTAAGTCACGCTTGTGATACACAGGGATACACTGAGAATGGATTAAATGTATTTCCAGGCAAATGAAGCCATTGTCATGGTTCGTTCAGTGCAGCTGTTCTGTCCCCATGGTGGTCTGGTTTTATGATAAAGGTTTTAATTTTGCTTACTTATCAGTTTATCAGGGTCTCCACAAACAGTCTGGCATTAAGTTTTATTACCAGCTATTTATTTAAGGGGTGAAATATGTTGCCTGACAAAAGGCAATAATACTGTAAGATTTTATTTCAGCATATGTTTAATATGGGTGGATCCAGGATTATTTGAATTAAGGGTGGTCCATGGATGTGAAGCTGACCCCTCCCCCTCCCCTTGGTGTGGGGTGCGGGGCCCGCTTAAGGGCCCTGAAAAATTTTGTTATTTTTGAGGGGGAACAACGCCATTTGGAACTATGATTCAGCTAGTCAAAATTCTAATTCCAACAGGGGACCATTGATGTTTTTTACCAGAAATTGAAAGGGGGGAGGGGGGGTCAGGGCCCCCCTGACCCCCCCCCCCCCCCCCCACCCCCAGAATGCAGTTATCTTACTGGGTACTTCACTTGGATGTGCTGACTTATTTAATAATCTTCTCATTTGGATCAAAGTTTCATATCTAAAATACATCAAAAATTCAAATTTACAATGTCCAAAATATTTTAAATCCTTGGGCCTGGAATTCACCTCATAAGACACGATGCCAG